TGTGTGTAATATAAAAAGGTATGCCAAATTGAGAAAGAAGTAAATGAATAAATAAAAATTCAAAATCTACGTATGTAACATTGCTGCCAAAAGTGAAGATTTAACTTTAAAATGAGAATTTTTCAGGTCAGTTTTTTAGGTGGATTTTTCGGCAGACAATTTTGAAATTAAATTGTAAAATGAAAACATTTTCAAAATATTGGCCGTTAATACCCTGGAATGGAAAATTTTCAGAAATAAAAAAAATCTGAATACCTTTTAAATGTCAGTTTAAATCTTAGATTTGATCTGAATCTGAAAAAATTGAAATCTATCCGATTATCATAAATTTTTCTGTAATATTTTCAACAACAATAATATGGCACAAAAAAAATTTTTCATAAAAAAATCAGCTGACTTTGGTTTTTTATTTTTAAATTTCAATGGTCAATTTTTGTTCAAAAGTTTGACATAATTGTATAAAATTAATCGGATGTCTCAATGCTCATCAGATTCTATTTTACACAAAATTGTAGATTTAGTCTGATGTCTGTTAATAAAGTGAAAGTAATTATAATATTTACAAATAACTTTTATACTGCAGATAGTTAATTAAATACTTGATACTCGAAATTCGATGCAAGCGCTCCAGTACAAATGTTGAATTATGTTTGACAGCACATATCCAAAGATTTTATTTGAAGCAAATTTTCAAACTTGAGATTTTATACCAAAAATAACTGGCATGTACCTACACAGTAAATATAAAATTCATATAGAGACTCTTATTTGCAAAAATAAATAAAAAATATTTTGGTCAAAATCAAAGGCAAAAAAGAAAACAGAAACAAGAAAACTGAGAATAATAATGAGGTATAAAAACCGCGTAAAAAGCTTTTGGTCAGATGGTGTTTATTTCTCAATAAACATAAAAAAAAAAAATTCACATATGCGGCATATATAAATGTGTAATTGCATATTAAGTGAGCGAATTGTAGCAATAAAACAAGTCAAAATCAAAAGCGATTAAGTAAAAAAGAAAATAACGAAAAAGAAGTCGAGTAGTAAAAAAAAGCCCGGCATTAATCAATATTTTTATTCATAATCGTATATACAAACATATAGCTCTTTAATGAACATTCAAATAAGTCAATATATATATAGATAAATATGTAGATAGTTTTGTAATATTTGATATGGATTTAATAAAATATTTACAAAATTTTTGATGATAAAGAAATGGAATGATTGGTAGGGTACAAAACTGAACAATGTAGTTAAAGAATGAAAACAACCTGACAAAGATATAAGAGAAATATAAAAATAAAAATCATTTTTAACAGTCATTGCCAAATTTTGTGGTCTTTATTTTTTATATTTTCTCACTTTTCATCAAAAAAAAAATCCAACTAATCAAGGTGAATCACCTATATGAAGGTAAACTCTTTGAAATTGATTGGTTTATATGGATGATTTAATTTCTTTTTTCTTTTCTGTTTTTTTTTATTTTTATTTTTATAATTGTGAAAGAAAACACCAATAAAGTAATAAAATTTTTTAAATTATATTTTTTTTTTTTTTGAAATTTTTGTAATTGAAACTGTTTTGATGAGTTTTAATAAAAAATTGAGCTTTAATTATATGGACACAAACACAGAAACAAGAGTTCACATATTTTACATATTGGAGGGACGCAAAACGCAGAAGTTCACAATATTTGTATAAGTAAGAGTTTAAGTACATAATGAGTATTCATTTTGGATTCAGTAATCACAAACATCTAAAAGTGAGGCACGAGAACAAGAATGTGTTTAGAGACAGTGGCTCGAATATGGATCATTCTATGACCAAAAAAACTCCCCAGTTTTAAAATCGAAAATAAAATAGAACTTGAAAATAAAAACTCAGAAAATAAAAAAGAAAACTTGTTTTAAACAAAGTGATATGAAGCAAGTCATTGTTTTACAAAAGATAAGGAATCATACAAATACAGTTAAAACTCTATAAGACGAAACTGCCATAAGTCGAAATTTTCCTATAACCCACAAACTATTTTGTTGTATTTTGCATCATGAAAAAAATTATTGTTGTTTTAAACAAAATTTCAAACGACATATCTATATTGAATAAGAACAGAATAGCGTTTTCGGCAATGAAAAGTTTTTTTCAGAACTGGACCGTATTTAAAGATAACTTTAAGCCGTAAATAGGTGTGGGAAATTACACTAAATGTTTGTTATTAAAATATTTTTGTAAACTTTTCTATTCTCCAAATCTATTAACCCAAAACGTATACTTTTGAAATTACATACTTGTCTAAATCTAGTAACTCATTTTAACTAATTAATTTTTATAATAAAATTTCCATTTTTCAAATATAAGTAAGTAAGTAAACAATTCAAAAGAAAAATAAATAAATTATAAAATATTTTTATAAAAAAAATTCCACAATTATATATCACAAACACACACATATATATATATATACTTTCAGAAATTTCTATAACATCTTGTTTATTGCACATCATGCTTCTTAATATTATTTAAAATGAATAAAGTAATAAATATAATAAACAAGTAGACTTCTATAATTTTCTATTTAATAATTAAACCGGGAAAAGTTCAACTGTAACTACATATTTAAGGTTAACGTATAAACACCGGTGATTCGTGATTTATAGATTACGTGATTTATACCAAAACAATTATATATTTACCTACGTATATACACCTATGTATATATAAAAATATTTTGATATACGTATAAGTATATTTATATATTCAGAACATACCATAACAAACTGCAAGTTTAAATGAAATGAAAACAAAATTTAATTAAAATGTGAAAATATTAAACGATGACGTTCAAAACTTTAAATTGCATATTATAATTACTAATTGCTACGTTATATAATAAACACATGCTTATGGATTATATCTACAATAAGTGCTAAAATAAGAACCTAACAAGTACTCGTTCATAAATATAAAAAAGCACATCTGGATTTAATCAAAATCAAGAAAATATGACTTGCGGATAAATCAAAAATAATATTGAATGCTTATGACTACAAAAAGGTACTGCGTAAATAAGCGTTTACACATGCGTTCTAAAATATATGAATATATCGTATAGTAGAAACGTGATACCCATAAGCAAATTATCTAATAGGAGAAACATATCGCTTCTTAAATATAAGGTACATGAATATTTGTAATTTTTATATACATGTAAGTATACGAAGTTTTCATTAATAATTTTTTGTATTTTAGCGTGTAATTATGTAATATGCACACTAATAATTTCTACTTAATAAATAAAAATATTACTTATTGCACATTATGTGATTGCAAGCTTTTATACATCAAAATATTGGACTTTGATTAAAATAAGTAAAAAGCCAATAAATTAAAAACTAATTATTGTATTAAGAATAAATGAGTCAGTCTTTTAAGTTACCTAACTTTACTAGTATAACATGCCGCTAATAATTAAGTATAGTGCTTAATTATTCATTAAAACTAATTGTATGAAGAATTTTTCTTAAACACATGTGTGAATAAGCAACTCATTGAATTTTTTATACTTACATGCATACATATTTTTTCTAGACTAATCTACATATTATATTTGTAATATTATAATCAAAACGGGTATAGAATTTACATTTTTTACACGAATGTGATGCATAGATTTTGTGTTTTAAAAAAATAAAATACTTTAGCATTAATTAGAAATATTGAATTCTTAAAATTCAATTATAATACTGCCAATTTTTAATACACTACGAAAAAGTAGAGATACAAAATTCAAATACTTCCAGAAAAAGGCTGAGTTCAGTTGAACACCAAGGTGTTCAGTTATTTTTCAAAAACAGTGTTCAAAATTTAATTATCGTATTTTCAATTCATTGAATTTTAAAATAGCTATAATTATATACTTCGAGAAAGGGTGCAAAATAATTTATCTTAATTTATCCGTCAATAATAGTGCGGTCTTGCTATAATTATTGTGCGGTAATTTTGCTATAATTACTTGTATTTTAAATGCAAAAGCGAATTCAAATCTGCAACCACTTAACTTTATATAAAAGCAGAAATTTATTTACGAGTATATAAGCAAATTTTTTGATATTAATATTGCACTTAATTTGTACACTTATGTATAAGTAACCCTAAATTTTTTTTGCCAAATACATACTTATGTTCCAAAAATATTTTTATTCTAATATTAGCTATTATAGACATGTTCTCCCATCATAACCCATCACTAAATTTTTTGTTTTCTCCGAATATCTAACAAAAATTAAATCTGCGTAAAATATTTAATTTAAATGTTACATTATAAGAGATAAATAAAAATTACCGTCGGTATTACAATCACGGCTATAATTACGAAAATTTCTTTTCATAATGTTTAACATTTCGTTAAACGTGATTCGAATTTTAATTTTCAAATTAACATTAGGATTAAGATAAACTTGATCTTGGACAAGAAGTAATTCCATTAATTAAGTATTTTTGACAAGTTATAAAGGGTGCGTGATTAGTTCTGGTAATCAAATGTTTATATAAAATTCTTCTATAAAAAAATTTGCAATTTGATTTTCCCTTTATCAATATGTGTATTGCAAATTTCTACTATGATTGAAGAATGTAGACAATGGAATAAAAATAGAAGAAAATTTTTTATTAAATCAGGCAGCCCTTTTCAACGAATTTCAACTGGAAAATATTCTAAATATTGTTTATGAATTCAGAAATTTTTTAAATGCATATGTGACTTTAAATGCTTAAGTATTATTAATGAAGTAAATGCAGAAGACCCCACTCAAATGAAATATGTTCATGAAGTTTTGAAGATTCTTTTCAAATTTTGGATTACGAACTAATGGTAACAAGAATATTTATATACCTTAAAATAGTTTTTGTACTCATAAGTAAAATATGTATGTACCTTAATAATTCATCATTAAGTAATTTGTAAATAAATTCATTTTACTGACTAAATAAAATCTTACCTTTAAGTATGATTGTAGACAAATCGTTTAGTTTTGAAAATGAATTTTCTGTTTCTGCCATCTTTACCAATTATAAAAATAAAATTATATCCAATTTAAAATCCTTTATGTTCTTGAAATAAATATCCTTTAAAATTTCCAGTATAAGACAGTGAAATGAATTAATCCAAAAGTAATAATAGGAGTGATGTTTCACAATTATAATATTTTTTTAAAAATAAATCATAAATCCATAAGATTATTATAAAAAAAAATCCTTGTTCCGTCACAAATATTTTTAGGTGAGTAGGACGAATTTATTTCAAATTTTTATTTTATCACCCACTTTTTTCTTTGTTTTCTTAAATCTAACAGGACAACGTTAAAAATTGTTTTGTGAATTATTTCAAATTTTTATAATTTTCAAAAATTTTTCTGATTCTTGAATCAAATCACCTTTAAAATATAAAATTTTTTTTTTTGTTATTTTTTAATTCTAATTTGTAAATTTTCTTCTTTTAATAAAATTTATAAAATAACATTTTATCACTATTGTATGCGTTTCTATTAATTATTAATTAATTTATAATTATTAAAAATTTTCAAAATTTATTGTTTAAAATTGCTTAACATTTCCTTTTATTTCATTGTATGTATGTATTTTATCCTCTTGAAATTTTTTAAATATCCGAATACCAATTAAAATTTTCTTTATTTTTCAAAAAAAATTCAAAATGTTAAATTTGACATTTTATTCTTAATTCAAAAAAAAAAATTATTTTTTAAAATTCTATTTATTTTAATTTTTTTAATAATAATATCGTTTTTAAAAAATTATTTATATTAATATAATAATTTATTTTATTAACGATAGACAACCGTTACTGTTGACAGTCTAAAAGTGACTGAATATAACAGAGCGATGATTAAATTAAAAAAAACACTGGCATAGCAAGAAGAAGAAATGATACTGTACTGTTGTACACTTGTACAGAATACACAACATCCTCATAACAATATAACATTGTACAGCCGTCAGCCGGTAAAAAAAAAAAAAAAACACATACATAAAATATTAAAAGAAAAACAAATAAAAACAAAAAACAAATTTTTCCTCTTTTACCATTTACACTGCTATACACACCATGCGATTACTAACTAAACACGATCTGTATTTTTTCGCTGTAATAAAAAAAAAGAATATAATACAAAAGTTGCTTTTGCTTACTATAAAATAACACTTTGTCAATATTTTAGTTTCACCACACGGGTGGAATTATAATAAAATATAATGTATTAAAAACAAAAATAATAATAAAAAAATATGTGCTCCTGAACTGACGACGACGGTCGTTGACGACACAAATACGACGATATTCTCTTTCTCATCAAAATACAGTATACTTACTATCTGTCAGCCTGCCAGCAGTTGAGCACATGTGTTGCTTGTTGCATTGCATTATTGTATTGTTGTACTGTGTTGTGTTTTGTGTTGGTGTTGCAAATAATAAAAGAGAAAATATTGAAAAGAGAGAAACAAAATAAAATAAAAAAATAATTAAAATATAAAAAAATCTATAGATATGAAATTTTTGTATTTGTGTAACAAAGTTATCAACGGTATAATATAAATATAATTTTTGAATATGTGTATGTATGTATGTAGTAAGAATGTAACTTGTTTTTGTTAAGGTTAAAATTTTAATTTAGTAAAATGTTTTTTTTTGTTTTAGAATTTAAGAAAATAAAGAATTCAAGGTAGAAATTTTATAGTTTTTTTAAGTTTATAAAAAATCTAATTTTGGTGTTTTTGTAGTCGAGAAGAGTTTGCGTTGGAAAATGTAAGTACGATTAAGTATTTGAGGGTTTGAAAATGAAAAAGTTGACTTGCAATTTCTTTTTTATCGCGGAAACCGATTTTTATATTTTGACTCTCATAAGCTAGTTATTTTTTTCGGTATTGTCTTTGCCTCTTATTTGTCTAACACAATTACAGGCTTTTAATCTCAGCTTAATTACATATCATAACATTTATTATAGCATTTTAAGGTATTAACTGTAGTTAATATCTTAAAATACCATAATCAATGCTTGAAGCATCTGATCCGTAAGTGATTTAGACAGTATGTGACGTACTTTAATAGAACATCATCCGTCGACTTTAAGTATAAAATGTAAATGTAAATTTCCCTCATCTACTTAAAGTAAGAAAATGTTGCCTCAATTGGACAAACTGCTACTCACTTCTTTTATTTATCTAATTCAATAAAATAAAAATTTCAACTCCTTTACATGTTTTAAATAAAAAAAAAAACAAAAACAACTGTTATATTCCCATAACAATATTATAAAAAAAATATAACTATAAAAATTTGTGAGTATCTCCTAAACAATTCTATTTATCTATTGCGAAATTTTTTCCTCTCACACAGAATTTCAATTTAACAAAATCATACTAGTAATAGTAAACAATATGAAATAGAGCAAATCTGCTAAGTAAAAGAGTTTTCATTTAATTTTGTCTATTCAAAATTATAAAATTTAATCATACTGTTCTGTAAAGCGAACAAAATAGCAGAGAATAACTGAGAAATGAAAAATATTGTGTATATGTTTATGTATACTGTAAATGTGTACACAATATTTTATACAATGGTATTTTATTTTTTTTTTATAATAAAAAAGAAAAGCAGTGAGAGTGAAAATATTTATTTTTAAATATTCATAATTTGAAAAGGGAATTTCAATATGGTAAAAATGTAGATGAATAAAGAAAAACATGTGTTAGGTTTTTAGAGAGTTTACAGGAACATTTTTATTACATTGAAATTCATATTTATTGTAGATAGATAAGTTTTATATAATGCGTGTGTATTAAATCAATTCAATATGTAACCAACATTATTTTTTTTGTAATTCATAGAAATCTGTCATAAATTTCATGTGTCAAAAAACGTTTTCTGTATCGTCATAATAATTATAATAATTTCTCATCTAATTTATCTGATTTAACATAAAACAAATGAAAAATTTATTAAATTAATAGCTATTTATTAAAGATTATATAGAAAATTATTCATAGATTCATTTTAATATAAAATTTCAATTAAATTATTATAGAGACACAAGTTATTTCGGTAATTGCATGAAACGTGCTTTTCAAAGGCGAAGGTTAATAAAGAATTATTCCTTATTATTGTAGGCGATTATTATTAATCAAAGATAGTGTTCTATTTCTCGAAAAATACAATATTCAGCTAAGAAAATATGTGAGTTTGGAGAAATAAAAAACCCACGACTATAGTATATGTATAGATATACTAAATAATCAAAATGAAATGTCAGATTTTTTGCTTATGACATAACAAAAATTTTTAATGAATCATATGAATGTAATCTTTTCCCTAAATATCGTTCAATAAATATTTTCATATACAAAATATTGAAAAATTAAATTGCCATTTTTCTAATATTTTTCTATTAAATTTGATTGATTAAATTTCAATACTGAAAATTATTATACAAAAAATTGCTTATGTCATCCACATGAATCATAAATAATTTACCAAGTATAACTAAGACTTTCTTTATACACAAATTATAACAGTAGACTTTGTTTCTTCTATTCCTTAATTAGAATTAAATTTTTAAAAAAATAATCAGCCACTCTGGAATTTTTAATATTATCCGCTATATGAGTATGGAATTTCATTAACTAAGATTTTTCTACAATTATATAAAATCTTTTAAACTATTTAGAAATACTAAATAAAACAATTTACACCTTATATACATATATAGGTAATTATATCAAAAATGATATCAAAATATTTACTCTATATATAAGTACTATTTGTATGTACTACCAATATACTATTATATGTACTCGTATATTATGTGTAAAATGAAAAACGACATGAAAAGCATTTGAATTTGAAACGTGAACACAAATATAATATTGCACAAGTGTTGAAAATTACTAAGAGTTCATGAAAATAAAACAATTTTCTGTTATATTTTATACACGTATACTTACTTACGTATATAAAATGTATATAATTTCTAATATATTATTTAATTTCTTTCTTTAATGTAATTGAGCGAAAAATTTTTTACATTTTTCGCAAAAATGTTTTAGTTTTTTTTTTTTTCCGCAAAAATGTGTTTAATATGTGAAAGTGTACGTGGCGTGTAAAATTTGCGCCATGTGTTGTAAAATATGTACATATATTGTGTTGTAAAATCTATATACATCTACATTTTGTGTATTAGAATTATTATAAAAATTTTTTTTTCTTTTTATTGTAAAAGAATGTGAAAAAGAATTTCTCAACTAATGTAATAGAAAATATTATAGAAATGCATAATAATATGTTAAAAAAATTTTTTACAATTACAGCATTGTCACAGGATAGCAAAAAAATGCATCAGATACGGTGTTTTGTCATCTCTAATCTTGAAGAATATGAAAAAAAAATATTTTAAATTTTTGTTATTCATAGAAAGCATAAGTGTATAACAGTTATTAAATCTATTTTAAAATTACAATAAATGTATGTATTACAAAAAAACTATTAAAATATTTTAATCGAATAAAATATAATATGTTGTAAAATATTATTCTTTTTATATTTTGAATGGACGAACTTGTGAAATTCACTGAGAAATCACAATAATTTCATGCGAAAGTAACAGGCTAATAAGAACTTTTTTGCTACAAATTTTTCATTTGAGTTGCATTTAATTTTTACTTTTGTAAATTTTTGAATTTTCTCTTCATTTTTATGATATAGAGTTAATGTTTATTAAATGTTTATTAAATCTTGGAGTTAATGTTTAACAATTATTGAAATTTCCAAATACATTTTATTAATTATAATTCTTTTTAGTTTATTTCCTAAAAAAATATTGTGAATAAATTTTAATAAATTTACTGCTACCCCATAAATTTTCTCATATACTTTCATTTCTTACACTCAAAATATATTCTTTTTGTCTCTGTTGTATGATGTATTCTGTTCCGATATTTCTGTTTCCGATAGAATAAGTTATTTCTGTAAAATGTTTTATGTAAATTTATCTGTATTTTTAAACAGTAATATATTGCCCTAAATAATGAGAAAGATGTAACTCTTGTTCACCATAAATAAGAATTACGTTT